AAAAAAAAAAAAGTGATAATTCACCATTAGCAGACCTGCCATATAGAAGATACTTACTAAAGGGAATCTTTCCTGTAAGCTGAAATGAAAGCACAATAGACAGTAACTCAAATCCACATGAAGAAATAAAGATTATCAGTAAAGAGAACTACACAGAAAAAACAATAATGACAATGTAAGCATATTTTTGTTTCTAACTCTTTTCTTCTGCCTGATTTTAAAAACTTCATAAAGAAATAATTTTAAAACTGTGCTGATAAACTTTTAATGTATAAAGATATAATTTGTATGACAATAATAACACAAAGGAGGTAGAAGGGAACAGAGCTACATTGGAGTAGTTTATATACTATTGAAACTAAGTTACCATTAATCTAAACAAGATTGTTTTAGGTTAAAGTGTTAATTACAATCCCCAGGATGACCACTAATAAAATAATTCAAAAAACAAAAAACAAAAAACCAGTGGGCCAGAGTGTAAAGGACAGATTGCAGAGACATTTAGAGGGTAGAGTCAATGGAACCTTGGGTTAGATTAAAGTGAGATATTCTCCCTAGACATACCTGTGTACTTCCTAGTAAAATCCAGTTTTAGCAAAAGAACGCCATTAAAACAATTTATCCAGATCCCGCCCATCCTCATAATCTAATCACCCTTGATATCTGATCAGAGTCCTCATCTTCCACCATCCCCCAGGTGATGTCTGATCACCCCAGCCTGTCATCAGCAAGAATTCTGTCAGGTTGGCTTAGCCAGAATCTCCCTTAACCCTGACATTTCCTCTTAATAATTTTCTGTCCACCAACTCCCACACCGTTCCTTGGCTATAAATTACCACTTGCCCATGCTGCATTGGGAGTTGAGCCTGATCTCGCTCCCCTACTCCAAGACTCATAGTGACAGTCCTGAATAAAGTCTTCCTTACCCAGCTTTAACACATATCATTAATTTATTTTTTCTTTAACAGAGCACATAGTCTAGTGGAAGAATCTGAAGAGTGAACAAAAAGCTATTCTATATCATGACCAATGACTGGAACAAAGAATAGGATAGGAGAGTGGCATGAGATGAGGCTAAGACTAGATCAAGAAATTAATAGCTAAGGATGGACCTTTGTTCCCAAAATACTAAAAACTCATTTAAAGAATTTTGAGAAAAGAAGTGACATGATTTTGGGCAAATAATCATTGTAAGTCATTAGGGAAATGCAAATCAGAACCACAACAAGATGTCACTTCACATGTCTGATGATGGCTGTAATAAAAAAGACAAACAATAACAAGCATTAGTGAGGATGTGGAAAAACTGGAATCCTCACACATTGCTAGTTAGAATGTAACATGGTGTAGGTGATTTGAAAACCATATTGGTGGTCAGGCGTGGTGGCTCACGCCAGTAAACCCAGCACTTTGGGAGGCTGAGGTGGGCGGATCACCTGAGAACAGGAGTTTGAGACCAGCCTGATCAACGTGGTGAAACCCCATCTCTACCAAAAAATACAAAAATTGCTGGGCATGGTAGCCTGCACCTATGGTCCCAGCTACTGCAGAGGTTAAGGACCTGGAGGTTGAACCTGGGAGGGGGAGGTTGCAGTGAGCCGACATTGCGCCACTGCACCCCAGCCTGGGCCACAGAGTGAGACCCTGTCTCAAAAAAAAAAAAAAAAAACACTTTGGCAATTCCTTGAAATGTTAAACATAGAGTTACCATATGACCTAGCAATTTCTCTTCTAGGTAAAACCCAAGAAAGTTGAAAATGTGTCCATATAAAAACTTGTATATGGATGCTTGGAGTGGCATTATTCACAATCGTTCCAAAGTGGAAACAATCTAAATGTCCATTGACTGATGAAGCAATGAGCAAAATGTGGAATATCCACACAATTGAATATAATTTAGCCATTAAAAGCAATGAACTACAGCATCAATAAACCTTGAAAACATTATGCTAAAATAAGCAAGATACAATGGCTACATATTATATGATCCCATTTATATAAAATGTCCAAAATAGACAAATCTATAGAAACAGAAAGTATATTAGTGATTGCTAAAGGCTGGGAGGATGGCAGGGGAGAGAGAAGAAAGAAAATGGGATATGACTATTAATGAGGATAAAGTGTCTTCATGGAGTGATGAAAATGTTAGATAACAGTATGGCTGCACAACTCTGAATAAACTAAAATTACTAAATTGTACAATATAGAAAGGTGAATTTTATGGTATATGAATTATATCTCAACAAAGCTGTTATAAACCAAAAACCATGATGAGTTACTTTTTCACACCTAGTAGATTGAGTAAGATTAAAAAGACTGTTGACAAGGATGTAGAACATCACTGTCGGTCAAAGGTAAAATGGTACAACTGCTTTGGAGAACTCTTTGGCAGTGTGTTAAAAAGTTAAACAGACATCTATAGTATGACATATCAATTCAACTCCTAGTTTTCTTACTCAAGAGTTATACCTGATGTAAATGACAAGTTGATGGGTACTGACGAGTTGATGGGTGCAGCACACCAACATGGCACAAGTATACATATGTAACAAACCTGCACATTGTGCACATGTACCCTAGAACTTAAAGTATAATAAAAAAAAAAAACTGATAACTACGAGAATTGTATAGGAATGTTCACAGCAGGCTTAAAATGAAAGCCATCCAAATCTATCAATAGGAGAATGGATAAACAAACTGTGGTATCTTTACACAACGGAACATTATTCAGGAATTAAAAACAAACTGATAGGTACAGCAACATAGATGAATCTCAAATTAATGCTCTTCATGAGAAAAAAAATACATACACACATATAACCATACCATGTGATTCTATTTATATATAGCTAAAGAATAAGCAAAACTAATCTACCATCATTAAAAAAAAAAAAAAAAGAACAGTGATTTCCAGGGCAGGGTAAAGGGGTAGGAACACAAGAGAACATTTGGGATGATTAATGTAATCTTGGTGGTTATACAGGTTTATAAAATTGTCAAAACCACCCAAAATAAATACTTAAGATCTGTGCATCTGTTCACAATAGCAAAGACTTGGAATCAACCCAAATGCCCATCAATGATAGACTGGATAAAGAAAATGTGGCACATATACATCATGGAATACTATGCAGCCATAAAAAATGATGAGTTCATGTCCTTTGCAGGGACATGGATGAAACTAGAAACCACCATTCTCAGAAAACTAACCCAGGAACAGGAAACCAAACACCGCATGTTCTCACTCATAATTGGGAGTTGAACAATGAGAATGCATGGACACAGGGAGGGGAACATCACACACTGGAGCCTGTCAGGGAGTGGCAATCTAGGGGAGGAATAGCATTAGGAGAAATACCTAATGTAGATGACAGATTGATGCGTGCAGCAAACCACCATGGCACGTGTATACCTATGTAACAAACCTGCACATACTGCATATGTATCCCAAAGCTTAAAGTATAATTTAAAAAAAAAAAAAAAAAGTTCTGTGCATTATACGTAAATCTTATTCCAGGTAAAAAAGAAACAGTAGGATATGAGAAAAATAAATGTTTCTACTGTTTTAAATACTCCAGAACAAAAATCAGTTAAAAGAAGATTGGCATAATATTGATAAATGTTTGGATGATAAAAACATTAGGTTTATACTATTCTCTCTAGCTTTATGCAACTCTGACAATTCCCATAATGAAAAGTTAAAAGTTATTCATTCACATATTAATAAATATTTCTTACTGTAGTTCTGTGGCACAAGTTCTGGATTCTTAGGAATTTTCAATTTGTAGGATACATCTCCAATATTAACTGTATCACCTAAAAAGAGAATTTAAAAACAGAATAATTGTAAGAGACAAATGAGAAAACCGTAGACTATGCTACAATGCTTGTCCTGACCTACAGGGAGGGATGTTACAGAAATGTACTACACAGCTGTCAATATGTCAAGCGCTTTGCTCTAAAACTTCTATTCAAAGTATGTATGTATAAAGGAGAAGTGAGGCATCAGTGAAATTCACATTTTAAATGCTATGTTAGCAAACAAACAAACAAAAATCATGATAAAATACATCAACAAGCTTTATTTCATGAATAGCAACATTAATTAATATAAGCAAAAACAATACAGAAGAATGCATTTTTTAAGATCATTCAAAGCATCCACAGAGTAAAATACATTTTTTTTTTTTTTATTGAGACGGAGTCTCGCTCTGTCGCCCAGGCTGGGGTGCAGTAGCGCAATCTCAGCTCACTACAAGCTCCGCCTCCCGGGTTCACACCATTCTCCCGCCTCAGACCCCCAAGTAGCTGGGATTATAGGCACCCGCCACCATACCCGGCTAATTTTTTGTATTTTTGGTTGAGACGGGGTTTCATCATGTTAGTCAGGATGGTCTCGATCTCCCGATCTCGTGATCTGCCCGCCACGGCCTCCCAAAGTGCTAGGATTACAGGCGTGAGCCACCGCACCTGGCCTTTTTTTTTTTTTTTTTAAGACGGACTCTCATTCTGCCGCCCAGGCTGGAGTGCAGTGATGTGATCCTGGCTCACTGCAACTTCTGCCTACTGGGTTCAAGTGATTCTCCTGCCTCAGCCTCCCAAGTAGCTGGGATTATAGGC